CCGTTGACACGTTTTTGCTACATACTCCACGAATGCAGCAGATCTCCTGATTGATTTTCAGTTATTGTTGGAACATTGCTGCCAGGGCCTGGAAATAGCACTTAGCAACGAAACAGTGCTTTTTCCCGGATTTAAGTTCTGTTTGCCAAAGCCGCGGCCTTGGCGGAATTGTGAAGGATTCATCCATATAGTTACTTTATAGACCTGGCCTTGAGATGCCAATGCGTTGTTTGGGTTCCACAGTGCTGCCTGGCACATTCATGAGGCGTTGGGGCCAAAAGCTCCCAAAAGAGAAGGACACCGCAAAAGAAACACTAACATGTTTTTGCGGTGATTGCAGATACGTATGCTCCAAGTTCCTGCCATTATTTTTTGTGGCACTTTCATCTCTCGTCATGCGCTGGACATTCTTCGACGACTCAGCTGAACAGCCGGGCATTCTTAATTTTATTAGTGAATGTTCAATGAATGATAATAATGATAAAGTGGCGAAGGACGGTGGAAAAGATATAAGAAAATCATAATAATCTAAAGTGTATGAAAAGAAGAGGAAAGTAAGACAGAAGGAACAACATAAGCTGGGAAGTCTCCAACCTATCAAGAACCGACCAAAAGAAATAGAATGAAAGAAATAATGACCAAACGATTGAAACAAAAAAAACGCGTCCAACATGTGATTCATATTATTTACTATAATGAAAAGGGAATGAACATAAATGACTCATGAATCTGAATTTTATAGATGAATCAAGAAAGACCAATTATATAATATAAAGATCTGAGGAAAGTAATAGTACCATAATATGATATCTATAAAGAACTTACTGCACCATTTACTAAAAGGATCTTCTCCTATAAATACGTTAATGTGATGTGAAACGTCGGGCTGGGCCTCGCAAAGCCGCGCCTTTCTTTTCGGCTGGTCGGCCAGTCGGATGGAGTCCGCTCCACCACGAAGATCCCCTGGTTCATCTCAGGCGCTCGTGGATTTTGGGCCTTGGTGTTGGGCTGCCTGCCTGGGCTTCTTCTCCTCGGCCGAAAGGGTGGCATGATCTTCAGCGTCTACTCCTTCTCCCTTGGCTTGCAGGTCAAGCTTGATCCGAAAAAACGGCCCTGCGTCAGTACCAGAGCACTGGCTTCTTGGAGGCTTCGGCAATTATTGCCATTATTGCTACAGACTCCCTATTATCGGCAGGCTGAAGCCATAATATCCCTCTCTGATACTCGGTGGATCGTTGCACGCCACCCGCACATTTCAGTGACCGAGCTCTATGCCCTTCCATGGCTTTCCGGAGAAGGAGTTTCTTACTGTACATTCCTCATGGGGTGCTTGATGAGAGTTGGTTGGTTGGTTGGTCGATGGCGGACGCTAGGCCAACAAAAAGATCAGACAGGATCAGAGACAAGTCAGCAAGCGTCTTCACAGAGAAAGCCTCCTTTTACGAAGCGGTCCAGTATGCACTATATATACTCAAAGACGATCACGTGGAATGCACTTAAATTTTCATAATGCTGTTAGGATATAAACAATTTAATGGGCCACCAGAGGAATATTGTAGAATGCAGTAGTACATGTCATGTATTCTGTATTCTTGTGTACTGGAAACCGTTTCTATCTTTTTACGGTTCATGTTTTGATTGTGCTTTTGTTTCACGTTTGAGGAATGTTGGGCCTGTTGGGTCAGACGTGATGTGTGGATGCAGACGGCCACATGTTTGATGGAGACTTGAGAAAATAGGATCAAAGAGGTGGAAACAGATGAAGGAAGGGTTCGTGTTAATCGGGCCACCCAAGAGTTTTACCCAAGAGTTTGATAGAGTTTGTTGTAAATCGTTTGTTACAGAGATCCACACATATCCACTATCCGCGATGGATGCCGCCTAGATGTGTTCGTGCACTTGTTTTTTCGATGGCCGCTTAATTCGTTTTACCACCATCGAGATCAGCTTAATTCGTGTTTCAGGCGTGCGGAGGAAGGAGATTTCTGTGAGCGCGTTGGTCGTAGATAGCATAGACACTTGTTGTGGATAGCCATGCCATGCCCCTTCCACTTGCATGGCCTGATAAGGCTAGTGTAACCACTGCGGTTTCTAAACAACAGCATTCCCTGGCAGTTTGCAGGCCACCTGTTAGTAATTATAAGGAGTTAGCAAAAAGTCACCACCCATGCAAACCGCACATCCCTGATCGTTGTTGTGCCAGTTCTCGTGTGGAACGTGCTGCTGAAGCATTGTGGCCGAAACTCTTTCGCAGCAAATGGCTTGGCTGGCATGTCATTGTGCAGCCTTCGGCGGAAGATAATTTGGTAGATCTGGCCTTCTCGATTTCGCCTTATCGTTGGACATATATTTCCAGGTCTTGAAGGTGTTCAGTGTCGATGTTCAGAGGGGCTCTCTCTTCTGTTTCTGTTTCCTCAACTGAGTTGACGGCGGATTTCAACCATACTACAGGGTTCTGTTCTCCCCCGAATCGACCGAATCGGGAAGCTTGGGCCGACCCTCAGATCTCCGGGGTGCACAGTTCTTCGCCTTAACCGTGATTCCCGTTTGCCGGCTCAGGCCGCCGTTTGCAGCGTCAAGGCGTTTTTGACGCCACCATTTATCATCCAACCCACTTGTGAGTGGATCATGTGTTTGAGGGCCAGTAGGCCCTATGAGATCAAGTTCATACACGAACCTGTAGGTATCGGATATCTCTGGGGGGTGGTTGCTGGGGAAAAGCAAGGTTTGATGAATTTATATACTGTAATGACTATATGTTACTATGTGTTTGTTGGGCTCTCTGTGAGATGGTTGGCCTTTCTTCGTAGTCTTGGCCCAAAAAGCACTTAGCAAGTCCACGTTCTGTTGAGTGTCTTTTGGTCTATGTTTAGCAGCCAGCAGGAAACACCCACAATTCTGGTAATTTGATTTGTGCCTGTTTGTTCACTCTGTGCTTTTGGCCGAGCCAGCTGCCCAAGCAATCACACTGCAGGTATGTTATAATAGCAGAAGAGTTCTTTTTCAGACTACATAATCAAATAGCCTACTAAAAGATGTGCGAACTGTGTGGATGTGCTAACAACCATGGCAGGCTTGTGCGATCGCCTTGTGCTCGATGCAAGTGCCTTGTGCGAAGCGTGTGCTGTTCGCGCCTTGCGCCTTCCTCCGCGTGCGTGGAAGCGATGCGCCAGGATCTTCCGTGTGAATCTGTCCCAGCAAAGCGTCGAGGACCGAAGGGTGACGTCGTGAACTCTTCGCCGAAAGGCCGTGAACCCGCAAAGGCCGGGTGGGTGTGGTGGTGTGGTGGTCGCAGAAAGAGAAGAGCCCTTTAGGTTCTTTTGGATCATTTTGAGTTGCACGGATTCCCTGAAAGAATGGGCCAATGTGGAGAGTACTGAAATGGAAAGACCATGACCGCATTGCGCAAGGGCTTCAAGGGATAGAAACAGCTGACGTTGGTTGTTTCCGGGAGTGTAGATCCTAGAATTTGCCACTGGCAGATTTGCATCCCAACTTGAGTAGGAAGCTGGTAGGAAGCTGGTGTACCCCTTTGGGTTTCCAGCAAGCAAAACCCTGCAAAACCGACCCGGTTCTTGCTTCAGTATGTCCCAGTCTCCGGGGTGCACCCGTTGATTGTTTTGGGGGAGGGTCGGACATGGCACTGAGTGAAGATGCCTTTGCCGGGGAAGATGTTTGAAGGGTCTTTGATCTTATTGTAGTAGGGTTCATAGGGTTCCTTGATGGCCCCAAGCATGGTTGTGAAAGCGTCCCATGTTCGATTGTTTGGAGTTGTGGTTTCTTTGTGTCTTTTTGCTTTCCGGGACAACGAGCACTTATTTAGGCAACGTGCAAGAACCACAACGCATCTCTATTTATTTGAGAGGCCTTTGCAGGTGCAACTTGAAACAACAGCATCACTGTTTGTTCTTTGGCCACCACCAACGGTGCAAATGATAGAGTCCTAAGGTGCGCCCATCATGCCGCGTCCACCGGGATTGTCTTGGCGTCGTATTTCACACCCAGGAGATTGGAAGGGCCATGGTTGGTAAGAAGGCCCTTTGGCCTTTGCGGGAGCGGTGCTTCCATGGTAACGGCATACTTTGCTTACCCATGTGGGTGCGATTTCACCAGAAATGGCAAGAACCATTCAACGTGAGACTCACAACCAAACAGCAGAAACAGCACCAACTCAGTCTAGTATACATGTCGTTTCCTGGTTTGTTCTGTGATGTGTTATGATGTCTTGTGTATTTGATGTGTGGTTTGCTTTGACTTTGAGTGTTGATGTGTGATCAGATGTGTTGAGTCGATGTTTGGTCACCGGGGCTTCTTTCCAGCTCGACGAAAGGGCGGTCAGGGGGCGACAACCACCTCGAGTTGGTGGCGCTTGTTTGGGTGAGTGAAACCGGTTCATTTTTGTTGAACGGTGCGTTTTGGGGTCAATCTCTTGGGGCCGGAGTCGATTCCCGGATTCCCAGCCTTCATTGACAGCCCTCAAATTAAATATTTAGAGTTTTTTTTGGGCTTTGGGGTGCTTTTGGGGGTGTAAAGTTTTGCCTCATAGCATTTGTCTTTGTTTTGTTCAATTCTGGTCAATGTCTCGACAAAAGACTCCGCAGGGGAAGAACCTACAAACTGTTCTTCCCAAACGGCTGCCGAGCTTGAGTGTTCCCACGCGACGCTTTGTAGCAATTGTTGTGTCCACTGCAGAAAAACTCCGCGCCCACTAAGCGTCCAGCGCCTAGTCCAATAGCAACCATAGTCACCGATTCCCCCACAAATTGTCACCAGCGCGTGCCCCAATCAAGGCAATTAGCAATTAGATGTTTTGTCAAGCTCTTTGCTTTTCATGTAGACCAAAGCAACACGTGTCCCAACTAATTTCCTCAGACCAGCAAGTGATCCTGCGCAAAATCAACCTGGGCGATTAGTGGAAAAAAAACATTGCCCTTGACCGGTCATGTCCTGCAGGCGCCTGAACAGCAAAGAACAACAGGCATTAGCAAAGAAAAGCAAGAAGAACATCCAGTCACGGATATGCCAAAAGTACGCCCATCATACCTTAAGACCTGAAGATGTTTATACATATCATATGTTGCATCAAGTTTCAGTCCAATTTTGACCACAAAATGCGGCCGAGTGGCTGCCCAACACGGCGCCAGGCAGCGCTGCCTTCAGTCGAGCGGTTGAAGCTCACGATCGAAACCTGCCAGGGGACTGAGGGACGGCGCAACTAAGGAACTGAGCGCATTTCGAAGGAAGAACCCAGTGAATTGTTTGAAAACAAGGTGCGTTTGGTCCGTTTGGTGCTGTTTTCCTGCTTGGTTTCGTTCGATAGCGAAAGGTCCAGATGCTTTGGGAGGTCCCCAAGGTCACGTTCGACTGAGAAGGTATAGCTTTCACAACGTGTGGACTTGGCAACTCGGTGGAATCAAAGAAAGCGTTCCAAAACACTTGCAGAGGTGTTGCGATAAGCTGCTATTGAGTACCCTCACTGTAGGAATTCCCGGAGGCGTATCATTGAAGAGGCATGCCGAACGATACCTGCCAAAGCAAGAAATATGGTGCAAGATCAAAAGACTTGTAATAGCTCCCCAATAGATAGGAAGTAGATCCCCACAAAACATGTATTGGACACCGTTTCATCCGGGCCATTCGAAAGGCCTATAAGGTCAATCTCGGCACGGCAAGCCGGATCGAATCCTCGAATTTCCAGCCTCTTCCAGACCCTTTCTTCGAACCGCGTTCGGAAGCAGAGATAAGCCGGGAACCGGACCCCGACCGGAACCCATTCGCGCGGTCGTGTCAGGCGTTTCACCTAGCGGCTAGCTTCATTTGATTCGTCTTGTCAAGCCGGCTTTGGCCCTCATGGGTTTACACTTCCCGTGAAGTGCGAAGAGGAAAATAGTCATTGGACGCCGTTGGTCCATGCTCTCGGCTTTCTGCTCTCGGCCACCCTCTTTTTCAGAGGTTCAATGTTTTTATGCTCTCGGCTCCCCCAAGAATGGTTGGCAAAAAGTAACCAAAAAAGGTCAAAACACGGTTCGGGTGGCGAGGGCAGTGATTTTCCACGAGGTGCTTGTATGTATTCGATCAGAGTGGAGGACTTTTCCACTCCTCACGTTTGGTCGCCGGGGTGTTGGTAGACATGGCCAGCGTTTTTGGACCGAGGTCTTGAGGATCCACGAGAATCCACCGACAACTACCGTGATCAGACAGGAAACATACCGGAACGAAGGATCGCAGGGTCGTTCGGTCCAAGCTATCGAGTCTTTGGATCTCGTCGCGTCTGATGGATCGCGGTCGGGTCTTGGTTCCCACCATCTCTTTGGTCTGATGGATCGCTATCCCAAGCTCATCTTTTCACCCACGGCTTTGCTCAGGTTCCAATTGCCACTTCCCGGGCCACAAGGCTCGGCGTCGCATGTGCCACCTCGGAGGCCGCGACGTGGTTATTTTTTGGGCGGCCTCTCCGGCGAGGCCAAGCAATGCCCGATGCCGGCAGAGAGAACTTCAGAAAAGCAGAAGAATCTTGGCGTGTACAGTTTGGATCAGTGTATACATGTGTATACTGTTGGAGGTTTTGGGGCCACCCTGATCTCAGGTGTATGTGTTGTACATAGTGAGATTGTGCTTGTTGCTTGCGATGTCTCCTTTACTTCCAGGAGCCCCAAGAACAATCTAATTACTGTTGTAGTATGTCCTAAGTACATCTGAAACTCAGGGTGAGAGTTTTAACCACACAAGGATAGAGAGCAAGGTCTTGTATCAGTTCATTTCAGTCTGACAAAGACATGGGAAGGTTCTATATTTCACGTGCCTGACATATGTATACCAACATAAAGGACACAAGCCTACCAAAAACAAACGTGCATCTACAAAATCAGGCAAATATTCTTCTGTCTACATTCAACAAGACCGTTTTTAGTTTTACAGGATGAGGGGTGCAGGATTCTTGTATGAGACACTCCCTCAAGACCCCTCAATACTTTCTCGACTTGTTGGAACCAGCTTCCTCAGCTGAGGTATGTCAGTTTGACTTCGGGGTTCGTTTGACTTTGGGCGTCAGCTCTTAGGAAGGAGGACGATGGCAAAGACGGGAAAGAAGCCAAAGGTGGGCGTGGCGGGTGTAGCGGGCACTTGCAAATGCTTGCAGTGGGAGGTGAAAAAAAGAAACACAGATGCAGCCAACAGATGAGGCGGAGAATTCACATTGTGTGTGTACTCTGCTGTTTCTTTGTGACGATGCAGGAACAGTTGGACTTTTCCAAACGTTTGGGGAGCCTTAGGACCTTAGGAAACTGATCACAACGCTGTTCACAGCGTTGAATTGAAACATGGCTCGCGCGTTCAACACTGGTTCACGAGCGTTGTTCCCACGGACCCTCACCCTCCTTCGGCGGGACCATAAGGGCCCTTCACTAGCTCGCCCCTTCGCCCTGAAAGAGACGGAACGAGCCGCAGGGGCCCGAGCGAGCAAACGCCGCGGGGCCCAAGGGGGACGCGAGCGACGCGAGCGAAAGCTCCACCGAGAGCCCACCTCTCAACGAGCGTCGCGTTCGCTTGGCGCGCGCGCGCGCGTGTTCGCTGTTTTCCGTGGGTCCAAGAGACGACGGGCCGGGACGTTCGGGGCAACGTAGACGGTGGGTCCAAGACGGAATTTCGTGGGCCAACGGAATGCCTGGAGCGAAGAAAATGGATTGCGATAGCTTGGACAGCGCCAGTGCAGCTCTGAAACGTGATCTAACTCTGGGACCTCTTTTTCAGTTTGGAAGCACCGCCAAGCACCGCCTATCCAGAGGGAAGTCGGTTTTCAAGAACCACGGAGGTCCCCATAGTAACCAGAAATTTTAACATGTTCCAATGACTACAGTGGATTGAGAGTAGGCGCCGGCGCAATCCCCAAGGTCGGTGGTTTATATGGACCCCGATCTAAAGGTCATCTTGGGGGGCCAGTGCCATCTACTCTGAAACCACTGTGCTAGCGCAAGACCTACTTGGCTGTACTATTTCTAGTGGTAAGTAGGATGCACTGGGAGTGGTTTCAGTGCACGTGCAGCGGCTCCTCCTTCCAAACAGTGCCAGCACGAACCAAAACACGCTTTGTTTTGTGCCGGTTTTGGTTCGTCCTCGTTCAAAAGAACCATGTTCCTTCTCCAAAGTGGGATTCCACGTTCCAAAACCCAAAAAAGGGGCTGCCTACCACCGCGCAAGTGGTCCGTTCTCACACCGGGAACGCCGGTCCGTTCTCCCGTTTGACATGGGACAGTCCCAGCTCCTGCCTGCCGACGTCTTTCGACTTCTTCATTTGATCCGCTAAGCTGACCTCAAACACCGGTGTTTGGGTTTCACACCATTAACAAGCAAATCACATTTGTCTGAAGTCACCTGAAAACAACGTTACGATCTTGGAAAAGTCACCCGTCTTCATCGCCTTGAGCTCCAAGCGTGAGCCTTTTCAGCTGCTTATGCCGACCCAATCTGCGGACCAGGCGTTTGCCCGATCTGCGAAGCGTCCAGCCATCCGCGCATTTGCTGCCCGAAGCTCTCCGCCGAACAGAGGCACGACCGATGGACCGAGAGAGAGAGAGAGAGACAGCCTTGCAGAGCGAGCTGGGCGATGGGTAGCAAAGATGGAGGGCACATGGAAGATAGCTGATCAATGCATATCGATGCTGAGCGAAACGCAGTTTTACCTCAACGCGCTTTGATGTATTGAGTTGTGATCATGTGAATCATGTGCTTCCTAAAGATCCTGAAGGGAGGAGTGGTTTTGAACCTGCAAAGCTTTTGAGATCTTTTTAGTTTCTGTTGTTTCTAGTTGAAAGGCTCGAGTACCTGCCGACCCCGCAGGGCGGAGTATCTGGCACGGATCGAGGATTTCCGAAAGCTTCAGGAAGCTTTCCAGGAGGCACGGACCAAATGTACGATGTGCGTTCGAGACCCACATGCCGCCTGAAAAATGATCCGTGTGGTCCGAGTGGTCGTCGTGTTGGGCGATGGAATTTGAGCGCTTCCGTGACGGTACCGAAGAGAGGGCCCATCATGGCTGTGTGTGGAAAATTGTTTTCACGTCTTTGTTTCGATCCAAGTTCAGACGGATAAAAGAAAGAATATAGGCTGCGTCGTGTTTGGCGCCGAAGAAAAGGAAGCCGAGAGCCTTCGGCCTTCGGCGTCGTGTTTCGCGTGGCATCAAGGCCACCCCGGTGCAAGAGCCACCGAAGGTTAAGGAGATCAAGGCGAGGTCCCGCGGGGAGTTGGGAGTTGGGGAGTCCAAGTGACCTGGAGTGGGCTGTTCACCAACTCACCCAGTCTAGAAAAATATGGAAAAATGGCTGACACCAATCCAAAGTGGTCTAGAATCTGGAACTCTTCAGACTATCTGAGCAAGAAGCTACTTACTACTGTAGGAACAAAGGGCATCGCTACATATCGCTTCTAGGGGCTCCTGGCCTTACTACCAGGAGCAAGAAGCTACTAGGAACTTTAGGAAGGGGCCCCAAAGAGCTGGCCGGACAAACGGCTTTTTGGGCCGTTTTCTCCATCATCCCGCTTAAGAAAAGTGGAGTTTTAGGCCATCGTTCTCACAAGGTGAGGGGGAGGATACCATTCTGAGAGTCAAAGGCCCGAGTTCGACCCATCTCTGTTTGAGGTTTGGATCGCACAAAAACCCATCTCCAAGACAAAACAGTGAACCCTGAACCGAAGATCATCAACTTGAACTGGTGAAGTGAACTTTCCCAAGGTATACATGCTTCTGGAGTTGTCACTGGCAAGACACCCGCCATCCGTGAGGAGGCTACAGCAGCTCATGTGCTAGTGGCAGCCTACCGGAACATTGAGGCCCTCAAGTGCGGTGTTTGGGAGGGAGGAGGGCAGTTGCCCTGGGACCTGGGATTGCTTGTGATTGTGGTCAACAAAAAGAATATCGAAGAAGCAATGAGCTTCTCTTCTCCCTTTGGGTCACTAGAAGGAGGTTTCTTCGCTTTGCCATATGGTGCACCTTTATTCTGGCAGGTATGTATGCTCCCAGGTCCCTGGTAAAGTTAAAGTTGACCTCGGATGGAGATGGGGGTCTGGGAGACCACGCTGGCTTGGATACCATCATAAGTCCATGAAGATCATTTCAACGAGATGGGCTCCATCTCCAATGCCTTCCGTAGAAAAGAAACACCACTGTTTCGAGATGTTTCGAGAACCTTCCCCTTGACATCCCTTGAGGATCTGTGGCAAGCAGTTCTTTCGCAGCCGACCTTGGCACCCCCAGCCTCAGCCCATGTCCACGGATCAATGAGCGGCCAAAAACCATCAAACAGCTGTAGGCCTGCAGTTATATTATTTTTATATGATATACATATATATAGAGAGAGATACTGTTTTTTGTTTTTTATACATGGTATAGTTTATGATGTTTATCACCCTCCTTAATGGTGAGGTTCCCAGTAGCTTGTAGGACTATTTTTCAAGAAATCAAGAGGTATTTCAGAGCTACTTCATCATGTCCAATGATCTTCCAGAACTATCTAAGATAGTGGATGTTTGTTGATCCCCGTAGTCTGAAGTCGGTCACGAACACCCTGCAAGTCTGTCGAACAAAGGTAGCAGTGCGAGATCGCATGCGGGAGATCATGACCAGGCCCGATTGTGGTGACATGCAGCATGAACTGGATGATGGAGTCAGTAGGTTGGGTACTTGAATTATCCGGCCACCCTCTACAAACTGGAGTATCAATCATGCTTTAAGCTCCGATGCATCTTAAGGTCAGACTCTTTGTCAATCCTATTGGCTTTGCTATGCTATGCTTTGCTGCTTGAGTTTGCTTGATCTATTGGTTGTTCTGATCCTTTTTCCTTGCTTCGAAGCGGTATATCTCCATGGAAAGCTCGCTTTTCGTCGAGGAGCATGAGGGACAGAATATGTCCGTTGTAGCCCGAAACAAGACCTGGTTTGGTTGCTTTCCACTTTACATGTCCATTTCGTTACTCGATCTTCATCTGGCGCCACTCGGTACTCGGTCTGACCACTGTGGAGCTGCAAGCAGCGCAGCGTTACGAAAGGATGGGCCTGGAGCGTTTGGTGGTCTTCAGTGCAGCCGAAGAAGCGGCCCTTGGGCAGCAAACAGTGTTCATGAGTGGTCAGGTGGACGAAACAACAACGGGGGCAATCAGTCTTTTCATTTTTCTTGCAGAAGTACAGGTAAGCCAAGCAATTGTTGGTTTGTTAAACAGCTCTCTAGCTGGTTCTGGGATCAAACAAGACATCTTCAACGGTTTGGGCGGCCGAGACGCCGGCCATGTTGGGGAGGGGCGTGTTGCGGGACGTTGGACGTCCCCCTCCGTGTCTTCTTCGCGTGGGGCTCAGTCCGGTGAAACGGACTAGGCTGAGACAATGAATGTCACTGCCGAATGAGTTTGGAACACAAATGAACCAGAAGATTTTAATCTTCACATGCACGAGATGAGAAAGAGTTTGGATTCTTTGTGGGGCAGCACGAGTCAGCAAAAAGGATCAGCAGTTTGGGAGGAAGGACATTTTGTGTGCTCTTGCTCAGCAGAGTAGATGAGGCAAGCCACTTGGCCTAATATGACCTATACCTATACTATATACATTGTACAGCTGGCATGCAAGATGCATTATGCCTGGGCCTTTCTTCAAGTCAGCTTGCATATGGAAGGAGCCCCTGTGTGTAGAGGAAAGTGGGACCTTCCCAGGGAAATGTTCTTCTCCGAACGAAGTGGTCTGAGGACCGACCTTTTTCCTTTGATGATCGTATCAACTGAATCGAGCTTAAGTAAGCCCGCTCTCTCCCATCAAAGAACTTGTGAACTTCTTCCAAGGGGATGGGCATCTCGACCCAAGCTAACACCAACCCGGAAGCCTTCGGCTTCATAGGGGGGGCAAGACAAAGGCAGGAGATGGGATATGGGTATGTTTTGGGTGTGTCCTATTACCTATAATGGTCAGTAAAGAATTATCAATATTTTTGAACAAGGCCTGCAACATAACCAATCATCCACCTGGTAATAGATGGTCATAGGATTTTCCCAAGGTCATCATTCACTGAGGCCAGGGTCATAGGAGATACCCAATTGATGTTCCCTCTCCCACGAGCTCACGCATGTCCTGCGTCCAGGCCGAGGCCAAAGCCGCCGCGGACCGAACCAAGGCTGTCCGGCGCGGTGTACCGGGGTGCCGGGGCGTTCAAAAAAATGAGACGTCCGAATCGGACCCTGGATGCTTTGGGACTTGGGGCTGAATGATGTGCTTGGGTCAATTCTTGATGTGCTGGGGTTTGGAGTGTTAGGCTCCCACGCTCTCCAAACGTTCAAAACGAGTCGAGCCGAGTGAGGACCGTCGCCCGCGCCGAGCGTTTTTTCTTGAGGGGCTCCAGACGACACCCGAGGCCGCCGGAAGGGCGGAGAAGGCTCAGCAAGCTGCCCAAGCGGCTCCTGGGCATGTGAAGATGGGGCGGGCATTTGGTCGCATGTGAAGAGTGTGAAAACCGGATCATGGCTGGGTAAGAAAAAGATCTTATACGTACGGATTCTGCGGTGGCCTGGCTGTCGAAAAATTCCTTGGAAGGGAAAGTAGACCAAAGGCTACGGGGGTGTTGATGTGAACATGGAGTGGCCTGGCTCAGATAATGACTCAGGACCCTCAGGTTTTGCCCCTATGTCATGTATTCCTTTACTTTGGGAGCGTTGGGAAAGAAAAGGCAGACATATTGTTACTGCTCACACTATATAACCTTCTGGTTCTTTTTGGTTTCTCTGATACTTAGTACTGACTTGAACTTTTCCATTTTGGATATGCATTGTGCTATATTGTGCTACCGTGGATTTGGTCGTTGCGCTTATTGCATGATAGCTGGATGGCACTTGACCAAAATGTGTAATGCCTCATTTTGTTGATTGAGCATGTTATCCTTCTACAGTATATAATTCTACGACGTGTGGTATGCCTTCATCCTTCAACAATTTCTACCGTTTCTTTCAGTTTGTTTTGCTAATCAACGCTCCTTCATCGTCGCTGTAAACGCTCAGAGGTAGGTTCCAATACCTCAAAGCAACTCCATAGCTGCTTTGTACAATGTAAACGTCATCACCATGTTTGCTTTTTAGACTGGCGACGTGACACCTTTTGCTAGGAATATCAATGCACGGGGCGTGACACCTGTATCTCAGCTGGCTGCTGGCTCTTCATTGTCACGCACATCTCGCAACAGACTACTGGTGTTCATTGAGTCGAACTTGAAGTTCATACTTGCAAAAGGGCGCAGTGTAAGAATTGTAAATCTTGTGGGGGGTCCTATTACCTGTAACATCCTGTAACAATCAGTGAACAGTTATCACTGTTTTAGAGAAGGCCTTTATATACTAAACAATCATCCTCCACTGTTACAGCGAATAGGATATACCCAATGTAAGTCTTGCAAATTTGGTTTCCTGGGTTGGATGTGACGGCATCGGCTGCATCATCCTGCGCGATTCAAACAGTTACTTTAATCGCCTTTTTGTGCAACTCCCTAATGACTGAACCGAAGCCTTCCTTTGCCAACATTATGAAAGCCAGCCGATAGGCTAGCTGCAAGGCGGGGGTGGTTTTTGGTAGGCAAGCTTTGGTGAGTTGGATAATTTGCAGGAGATGCTAGTCGTTTGCGGCATCACTCGCATCATCAAGGCAGTCCTAGTAGGGGTACTAGGCATCATCAACGCGCGCTGGCAGCACCGCTTTCAACAGCGTGAACATATTCTGGCATTCCACCACCGTGCTTATTTTTGCTCATCTTTAATTTCGTCCATGTAATTAGTGACTCTCACCAAAGCTGGGGACGGGCACAAGAAACTTGAGGGACCTGTGGCTTAGTCTGGACATGACTTTTCAACAAGACGACGACAAAGGCTGCGGTCTCACAGCTACGTGCGCGAGACGTCGGAGTAACGTCCTCCATGGTGAAACCTCCTTGAGACGCCCAAAAAGGTAGGCCCGGAAGTAGGGCCTAAATCCACCGAGTGTGGGTTTTCCTTTTTTTTCCGTGGCGTTGTTGGGATGCCGGTGAGCGAAAGCATCCAAAGCAGACGACCCGACGCTGCGATACCGTAGCATCGTATACAACGGCTCCTCCGCTCGTCCCTCTCGACCGCTGGAGACTGCTCGGCCCACTATTTACAGAACAACTTCCCTAGAATAGTAATAATGGGTCGGTTTATGTCCTTGGTCTTTTCTAGGGTGATTTTTTACTGAACAGGTCTACTCAACCGCCCAGCCTTCTTGGGCGTTTCTTCCTTTCTGTTTTCCTCTGTCTTTTTGACGTCGCGTCTTCTCCTTTTTCAATTGAGCGAACCGTGGGGCCGTAGGGTCAATTGGCCGTTTGGGTAGGTCAACACCAGGTCAACACCATGACACATGCCGCACCTAAGAAGAGAAGACCATCCACGAGTCAATCCAAGTCAGCATGGGTATGCTGCTAGAAGATGGGGTACGATAAGATCCTTCAGGTCGAGAACCCGGAGCAATCACATGCACTCCCTGTATCTTCCTTAATAATACCTTCGATCATTTGAACCATGTGGGTCAGGAATGATGTTCAGTGCCATTGACATTGGAATTCACCCCCTACCCACATGAGCCTGAAAAGACGCCACATTTTTTGTCATAAACCCTTCCATTTGACGAACGCCAGTCCAGGCAACCCGAAGGACCGACGGACCTTCCAAAGACCGTCGTCCGGTCTGCATTCCGAGGCCGCCAAAAAGGCGGCGGAGCGGAAGGCGCAGAAGGCCTCCTTTCCGCCGTGAACCGTTGTGTCAATGGGCCGTTGTGTCATGACTCGTCTAAATGCGGCACCTCTCATATCCTTTGTCCTTGTTATTTGTGTTATGGGTGTCCATTCATTCCATTAAGCACAAAGCAAGAGGTTTTTGGGGTTCTACAACTTTTCCATATGCACCGCTTCACTGCGTTGAAGAAGACGAGACGATGTTCGTTCAGACGTTCGTGGACCCGTTGATGTGTCTTCGTTCCGAAGAGACGGATGCGGTTGATGGATACCCGCACGGTCCGACGGAGAGTGCTCCGTCGCAAGTTTTTGAAAGAGGCCCTGAGGAGAACTTTGGGGTATATAGAAAAAACATGAAAAACATTGTTTTTTTTTGTAAATGCAATGCACTGGCATTATTTATAAATACAGTCGATTCACCCTCCCATAGCTGAGTCGGGTACCATGTTTCAGCATCTATTTCCAGAATTGATCCAGACGGATGGCAGCTGAGGTTGCTGCAAGTGATCCGGCAAAATCATGTAAAATCGAAGCTCACACCAGCATCATCAAGCAAGTGGGCGGTTTGACTTTGCCTCATGCAGAGGCTTTGACCATCGAACTCTTCTGGACCACGTGGCCGGTCACGGGGCCGGTCTCTGTCGCAACGCAGGACCATGTGGACCGAAGAAACGCAGCTTTTCGACACCAAGACGCCTCCACCAGGAGTCACATGATGCTGGTGGTGCTGGTGGTGCTTAGTCCCATCCAGTGGATGTGACAGGGGCACCCCTAACCTCTATGAAGCACCCCGTCTTGTGACTCCTGGCAGTTTCTTTTTAATGATCCAGTCATGTGGGCTGTGGGCTTCCCCAATCGTGGCCACCTATTGGCAAACTTGGCTCAGCGGGGGGCAAGTTTGCCGGTTCCATGCGTTTGGTTTCTTCCCCCAACATGGCCGGGACAAATTCCACAAACGTCCTAACATAATATGCCAACGGTCCGTGTCAGCCCTCCTCATGCCCATGCCCTCTTAAGCGACGTCAACCGTTTCAGCTCCGAGCTTCATGCCAACAAAATTCCGCTGTACCGAGAAAAAAAGAGGCCGAAGCTGTGGCAAAAGCCCTGGCTGCGAAAACGGCGAAGGCCAGCGAGCGCAGAAACCGCGGACGGGTGACGTGGTAGGCTATTCAGTTCAACGCATGACAAGAGGATTTGTCAGAGTGTGGTTTTAGAGTGCAGGTTTCTGAATATACAGTATACCGCATACCCTGAGTTCTTTCAGCCTCAGTGGTTGAACCTGTTATTTGCACACATTTGCACGCAAGGCATACTTTACAAAAATTATATGTTATTGATTAATGTTGTCGGCCTAGACAAGATTCTGCCAGCCAGCACCAGCACCACCACCACCACCGCCACCGCCGCCGCCGGGCTGGGTTTTAATTCAACCCTGGAGAAAAAAGACTGTGTGTGTGTGACAAGGTGGAAATAGAACCCAAACAGGGCAGAAAAATAGGGAAAAAAACATGTCCCACTCATTATTGGGTGTTGTCTTCTAAGCAGGTGTTGTAGAGGGCTGGAAATTTCAATGTTTGTTTGCTGACATTTGGGCTGAAAAGGATTCGACCTTGGACACAGGAAGTGATTTCGGGAGGTATAGTTCTACTGAAATTCCCATAGACTTCCTAAAATGCCAATGGTCCGTGTGTCAGCCCTCCTCATGCCCATGCCCTCTTAAGCAACGTCAACCGTTTCAGCTCCGAGCTTCATGCCAACAAAATTCCGCTGTACCGAGAAAAAAAGAGGTCGAAGCTGCGGCAAAAGCCCTGGCTGCGAAAACGGCGAAGGCCAGCGAGCGCAACGTCCCGCAGAAACTGCGGACGGGTGACGTGGTAGGCTATTCAGTTCAACGCATGACAAGAGGATTTGTCAGAGTGGTTTTAGAGTGCAGGTTTCTGAAAATACAGTATACCCTGAGTTCTTTCAGCCTCAGTGGTTGAACCTGTTATTTGCCATAAGGGATATATACTGTATATAGCGTTGTCCGCTTAGATTATATAGATGTTCGGCCCAAATTTAGCAGCCACATAGAGAGCACACATTTTTTTTACTGGGCACCAGCACCGCCACCACTCATTGGGGTGTTGAGGGCTGGAAGTCTCAATGTTTGACATCTGGGCTGAAAAGGGTTCGACCTTGGACACAGGACGTGATTTCAGGTCTACGGTAATTCTGAATCACCGCCCTCGGTCTTGGTGAACGCACATGCGTTCCAAACCGAGTTTCTTCCAACGCACTCTGTGTTTGCCGAACGGATCGCAGAATGGGTTCCAGTGGGCCATGTGAGGGTCACCGTCATAGGTTGTCGATCATGCGCATGCATCAACTTGGAATGTTGATGCTGTGTACGATGGGATGTGGATTGGAGTTTGCTTTGAGACAACCAGGACAACTCACATCTCTGTTCAACCATTGTTTTGAATCTTGAACCCTTTCTCGTTAACCCAAAAGACTGAAAGCCAATTTCTTGTTTATTGGCTGGTGACAGCGGTGACAGCAAGAGTTCGAGAAAAACTGTGTGATCCTGTGGCTGTTCTCCCATTCGTAGCCCATGATTGGTGGGTGTCCTGTCCTTGAGCTTCTCCATTGGTCTTTTATGTGGTAAGGTATGAATGCGGCCAGAAGCAAACCAACTCTACACAAGGTTTGTGATCCGGAACTGTGCACAGAAAATCATATCACATCCTCAAGATCCAATATATAAAAGAATCCAAATTAAACTTAAAGTCTAATTCAAGATGCAGGTGAAAGCTACTATGGTCCATTGGTGTGTGTGTGTGTGGACGATGGGAATCCGACTGGATGAATGCTACAACTCTATGGCGAAGCTGACAATCTTGTTCTGTTCCACTGGTCAGGTGGTCAGGTGGAACATGGATTGGGCTTGCAGTCAGATGTAGAGCCCACGTGTACCACAGTTTTTAGGCCTATCACTCTCTTCCACTTTTGATTTAAATTCTCAGAGATCCATCTCGGGCAGGCAGAAGCTGAAGCCAAGAGGCGCTGAGAACTACTGGAGGAACTCGCGAGATCAAGAGGTTTCTCACTCCCTTGACATGAGTGGTTATATATGGTTGTACAATGTTATATATTTGCCATATAGTTGCATTATAGTTGAAATTGCAGTAGGACATTCGTACCTGAATGATACAAAGCAAATGCAGTTTCTTTGGATTTGCCTGACCTGTTGGCCTGACCGTCTATAGGACCGTCTATAGAGGGAATTCGACACCTGTGTTCATCCCAAAAACACGGCTAGGGTAGTTTCATGTCGATCACCACTCAAGATCAACCAGCTGGGGTATGAGCACAGCCATGCGGGACCATCCTAGAGAGCGCTGCTCTTCGCGTGCATCTTTCGCTCAACCATCACTGCAAGTCCTGGTTTGGCAAAGCAGGTTGTGCGAGCTTTCACTGGACCTGAAATCTACTGTCGCAACGTCAAGACCGTTGTTTTGGATGTGTTTTGAGTTGGTTGGATCTTGTTTTGGATGCTTGACTTGTGTTTTGTGATGTTTTGTGCGACGTCAACCCAAGACCTTTCTTGACACCAGCGATTTCGTGTGTCCTAGGGTGTCGCTTTGGGGCTTCGCGCCACCCCTGTGGGTTCCTCGTGTTGTTGCCTTCGTCGAACTCTTGGACCTCGGCGAGGCGCGCTGAAGCGAAGCCGAAGGCGAAGAAAGAGAGTCGCTTGGAGTGGAAATGAGTGGAAAGAAGACGAGAGCGAAGACGAGAGCGAAGACATGTTTGGAAGAATGTGGTTCAAGGGGAAGATTCTTGGGGTTGAATCTGCTTGCTCTTCATCGCTCTTCGGGTCGGGGTGCCCCCCCCCTTTTGGCTCTCCGCGGTTGGAGAAGCCAGCGTTCGCCACGTTTCGATCCTGTGGAAGGAGGCGAAAGCACCGGAGCTGGAGGTATTTTTGCAGCAGAAAAAAGGACCTAATTATGTGTTTATCAAGTACCTCGGACACGGTGTTGCGTCCAAAAAGTACAATTTCCTGAAGAAGACTGTTCAAAGCAGAATGAACAAAGGGCATGCAGCCGTGCCTTTTTCTGATGCAGCGTTTGCGTTTTTGGGGACAGTGTCTGCACCACCGAAAAGTCATTGGGAACCGAAAAGTCATGGACTCCACAGATCTCGTGATCTCGAAGGCGAAGAGGTGGTCTATTTAGACACCCTCCCTGCAACACCATGTGTGTCCGATGACGCATGGTGACGCCCTCCCAAGAACCATGGAGATTGAACACCTCTGGTTTGGTATTTGGAAAGCAGTCTTCCAATGGCCACACTCGCCACTTCCATGTTGGAGGGTACTTGACTAATTAGTGTGTTTTTTTGTTAGCCATGTGAGGTGCAAAACCTGGAACCCCCAAAAGCAGCATTGAATCACTCATTAATCATTGTTGTTCAGAACCTCAATCAACCTGAGGGTGTTAGTCTTCTGACATATTCTGACCTACATCGCATCCCTTCAACATCTTCCAGCTTCCCAAGGTGTCCCTGCCCCACCCGCAGCTCGAGCTGGAAACGCTCAGCGGGTTTCCGCGCGTGTTCAACGCCTCGTGTGTTCCGTTCGGGTCTGGTTGGAGTGTCCACTCCTGGGGTCGTTCAAGAGGGGATCCCCAAGATCACTTCAGGGAGCGACCTCAGAAGGTCGCGCTCTCAACGATTCTTCGTGGGTACTACTATACAACTGAACTTACAGCTATTGCAGCTCTATTTCGTGAACCCACTTAGCTTCTCGTGCCCAGGCAAGGCGCTTAACCAACCGAGGCTACATGGTGGGGTGGTCAGTCCCACCACCTGAGCAAATCGAGAAATTCTATTCAAACGAACATTGACTGTGTCCAAGAAATCAGCTCGGAGTTTGAGATTCCGCTCGGAGTTGCTTGACGATGGGGTTTCTGAAAGAAAGAGTGATTTGGTCTTTTCTACCTGTAACAGTCAGTAAACAATTCATTACTATTTTTGAACAAGGCCTGCAACCAGGCCCCATCATCATCCACTGTTACAGGCATTAGGATAGACCGACCCAACGTCTTTAACTTTGGTTTGTTGCAGTTTGGTTGGACCATCCAATCCACCTGGTCCACCTCCGTGTCCACCAACCCTTGCTTCGCTGAGGGAAAGCGCGGAAATCAGGAGACTGGTCCAGGTCCGGGCGATCTGTGCGGTCAGAGCGGTCAGATGGATCAAGGGGTCAAATTGCGGACCAGCAAAGGATGCAGTTACCATAGTTGCCACTCCAATAAGGAACATCGAACCGTCACCAACCGAACCCTGGAATTCGTGGAATTCCTGCAACTTCCACTACAAAATTCCATAATATGTTTCAGCTGCGTGAACCGTCCAAGCCAAACGAAGTTCGTTCTAGACGAAGTCGTGCAGCATGCAGATCAGACCTCATTGTGTGGGTCCTGTCTCGTATTTTTGGTGGTCTCCGTTGGAGAAAAACAGAAAGACAGGAGAAAAAGAAGAAAAGGCAAGATCCACAAAGGCAGAAAACACCACGTCAGGGATGAAAGACACCCAAATCCAATCTCAAGACATCTCAAGACACAAAACCACGTGGTTTGATGAGGTGCTTGCTCTCCGTTTCCCGGTGCTTGCTGACCTCCGTTTCTTCGTCGAACCGACGTCGTGGGTCGGTCGGAGCGTCGGAGAGGCAAGTTCACCTCGAAGACCGGCACAGTGGAAGTGGTTCCTTGGATGGAAAGAGCAAAGGGGATGGGGAAACATGCTGTTTTGGTGGGAGAGGATCATGGAGAAGGATCATGTTGGTTGTAAATTTGAGGTTGCAAATTCATTTTAGTGGTAAAGGATCATCGATGAACACCTCGAATTTTTGTAACTGGGCCACGTGGTCCAATGCAAAGGGCTGGTGGGCGGATGATAGCTTCATGATAACCTCTTGACTCTTGACTGCTCGAAAGTTCTTTTTTCCCAGGCACCCTAATTTGCTCAAAAAAGAGCTAAGAAGCTAAGAACAGACCAGTGAGGGAAGATGAATGCACAAAGAGTGAGCAGATATAACACATTATGCGCGTGGGAGTAAAGACACCTTCCCTATATAATCAGATTTGTTTATCTTGTTTTTGCGCTGTTATATAAGAATATTTGAGAATTAAACAACAACTGTCAATGAGTCAATAACTGGATTTCTGGCTTCTGTGGTACCTTCATCAAACATCATCTCCGTGCTCACGGAGGTCCGCTACATCACCGATGGCCCAGCGCGGGGTTGGATGGTGAAAGGCAGGACTTTGCACAAAGACATGGCCAAGTTGGGGGTTGATTGATTCATATGCGTGTGTATCATTCATTTTTTCGGGGCATGACCAAAGGGTGCCATGGCGAAAAATGAAAGGGGGGCGGCGCCAAAGACTCGGTCCGTTCAGGTTAACTCGGAACTTTGAAGAAAAAACATCCGTTTTCTGTGTGCGATTGGTTGCAAACCTTTGAAAGCAACAGAGACCAGGGAAACCTTGGATGTTTGTGTTTTTGGACGATCAAGGCATGTTTTGAAAACAAGGATCCATGCAGTCTGGCATCTCATAGTGGTTTTTGTGCTTACTTTTGAGTCATGTTTGAGTCATGATCTCCCACTTGTTTACACGAACAGATGATAGACGAACTCGCTTGGGATGGGTCGGATTGGTATGGATTGGTTGAGGGTACCAGTACCACAGTCTTATAAGATTGAGCAGAACCTTCCCCTGTTTTACAAACCATGCGAATGTAGGCGAATGCTACATTACACCATAACACAAGACATATACTCACTTACACTATCATGATCTATCATATACTGAAGGCGTTCCACCTCAGGTATGCCAGTGACCAAAGGCCACAAAGGTCAAGGAATGTTGTCAGTTCTCATTGACCCAACATTTGTTCAGAACGAACACCTAGAACTGGGTGACCCGCCACAAATGGGGTTTCAGTTCAAACAGGAGACTGGACGGACACCTCAGCAAAACCTGTGGGCACGCAAAAAAGGAACAACATGGGCCCATGCAATCAGTTGTTGTTGTTGTTGTTCCTTTTCCATGTTCTCTATTTTTTCAGTGCAAAATCTTCATTTTGACATGCCTGGGATGGCTTCACCTTGATTTGAGGGCCTTTTCTTGTCTTGGTTTGTCTTGGGGATGCAGCAATGACAGCGCTTTGGCTTTGTGTTCTGCCATGAAATGGTACCAAGAACACCACAGACGGCACCAAGAACACCACCGAACGCCACCTGATCAGGACGGGCGTACACGTCGTCCACGCAGTACTTTGTGAAGTCTGGGGTTCTCAGAGAAGATTGTGAGGTAGGTGGTTGGTTGGGCCAAAACGATGCCTTTGATACTTTGATTGGGGCCAATATTGGGGACCACTCATAGCTGGCCCCCAAATGTGTTTGAAGGATATTCAGTATATAGATTCAGATGAGCTACATGCCGACAAGTGCCAACATATATCGGGAGATGTTACCCCAAATCAAATCGTTCGACATGACACGAAAACGACTTTTCTGCTGTCTCTAGTAGCTTCTTTTTTTTGCGGTCTCTAGCTACCTAGGCGCACTGGGTACCACCCCGGCCATTATAGCCACGATACACGAAACGAGTAGGTCGATATGCATCTTCAGTGCGGGCGGATTCGAGAATCTTTCACGAGGAGTCATGGAGTTGGGTGTTTTTTAGTCCCATCCAGTGGATGTGACGACGGGGCACCCCGACTTGCTCCATGTCCGGCACCCCGAGCTCTGTGACTCCTGGAGCATTTCAGACTTCCAGTTAAACTACGGTTGTGTTCGATCTTTGTAGATCCTAATTGAATCAATCGCCTCTAAATTTACCCAAATCACCCCATTCACGGTGGGTTCCAGGTTGATCCACCCCTATCTATATGCGGTTTTCGGGTTTTCGCTGATGGATCCGCTTTGGTTAGGCGGCCGGAGGCACAGCTCTGGGAGACCAGATATCAAGCATTGAAGGGCTATAATCAGGCCGAAAGCCGCCACGTGGATCCGCCACGCCGACCGACCGCACCGAAAAGGGTCCCGTTCGTGGCTCGGGGAGTGCCGTAGGTGGACCCGGTAGCTTTGGACTGGGAAGCGACCCAAAACCCGGTCCTCCGTGGCTTTTTTGTACTGGTTTTCCGTTTCTGTGCACTGTTGATTGTGGCATATTGTGGCCATGTCATGTTGCACAGACACATTGCACATGGGAGCTTTTTGTGTGAACCATTTCGTCAAACATTTGAAATTCACACTTGCATGTAGCTTGCGGGTGCAAGTTTTATGTTCACTGAAGTTCACAAAATGTCCCACCGAGACATTTTGGCTCAAGCTGGTGGCAATCATCCACAGGATTGCACCTGAACTCTGGAGAAAACCCACCCAACCCGCCCTTGATGGCAGCAGCACCTGGCGGTGCCGGTGGTGGGGGGGGCAGGCGTTGGCCCCCCAGCAGAACCAGTGAAACCCCCAACTGAGGCCCCTGAGGCCCTGCGACCATATCTCGATCTCTTGACGAAGCCGCTTGCACTCATCTTGGTCGCGAAACAGATCCCCTGGGTGGTGCAGGCCAAACTGGCCCAGCAGGGCTATGTGACGGTGGAGGACTTAGGGGACCGATGGAACACCCCGGAGGACGCACGGGCCCAAGGGCCCCGAGATTTGGAGTTCCAAGATGGTGAGAACAACTTCCTCCCGGTTCACTGCCATGCGTTTGCTTCAGGCGGTCCGGGCGGCCAAGTCGATGGCTCAGACACAGCTTCATGTGGGTCGCACCGCGGCCGTGGAACCCCCAGGCACGGCCAAGGGCCCCCTGGGCAGCCTCTGCGACCGGCGGGTCTTGGAGACCGCCTATGCTGAGGCATACAGCTGCCTCAAACCACGATTGGAGTGCCAGGGCAGTGATGCATACCTGAAACGCCAGTTCAAGCACATTGCGGCCGGGGAGCTTGGCTACATCCAGGCCAAGCACATTGTCGGGGCCCTTCCGGAGGACGGGGAGCGACCCGTCATGATCACACGGAAGGTGTCGGTGGATGGCTGGGACTGGGCAGATGAGGAAGAGACCCGGCCGGACCCTCGGACCCGACGGCAATTGGAGAGCATGCACACGGTGTTCAGAACCACCCTGTTGATGTGCATCGCGGGTCAGCCGCAGTTTGCCCATCTGAGACTGACCAAGGAGGCCCTGGACGAATGGTATGAGTGGTTTTACGGGGAGGACATCGCGGGTCGCCGACCCCCCCGTCAGAAAGAGTCCTCCAGTTTGCGGAGCGCAATGCCTGGCGCAAGATTCATGACCTGGTCCACTCAGGCACCTCACTCGCTGAGGCCCTGTCCAAGCTCCGCCACGACCACCTCTTCTGGCAGAGGGAGGTCTACGAGTACTGCAACAACACCCCAAGAACCACCTCCAAGGGGCTGGGCAAGAACAGGGGCAAGCCCTGGACCCAAGTCTGGCAAACCCAGTGGGACAAGCCTGCAAAAGGCGGTAAGGATCGAGGCCGGAAAGGGACGAGGCCCATTTTGAAAGGAGGCAAGGGCAAGACCCCAAAGGGCAAAGGCAAGGGCCAGTGGCCGGACGCATGGGCCTTCAAGGACCCCAAAAAGGAAAAAGCATTTTGCCGAGACTACCACTTGACGGGCACCTGCCCCGGCAGCTGTGGCCGTTCCCACAACTGTCCGGTCCCCCAAGAAAGCTGGGTGTGCAACGCGTCCCCGGACAAGCACCCACCTGCTTCTTCAGCAGAACTGCATGTGGAACCCCACAGGGAGGCCGGAAATGGTCCAGGCGCCCTGGGCCCTGTACCATCCACAGAACCCTCCAATGAACCGAGGCCTCGACCAGGTGCCCTTGGCCCTGATCAGCCCCAAAAGGGTCACCCTGCGGATGCGCCAGATCCCGGGCGTCTACGAAGGACACTGAGGCCACCCCATCGACAGCCGGGAACCCAGCAAATAGCCCAGGCGGGGCCGGGGACCCGCCCTCAACCCAGGCAAACACTCCGCAGGTGGAACCTGCCTTCACCTGGATGACGGGCGTCCCAGACAGGCTGCGCCGACGCCTTCACTGGACGAAGATCCCGGTCCCACCAATGAGAGGCCAAACCAACCATTCTTTTGCTCTACGCCGGCAAGGATGATGCGGGCTCTCTAGACTCTTACATCCACTCCACGTGTCCAGACCTCTCGCCTTTGATTTGGGCGGTTGACGTGAAAAGGGGCCCCTTGGCCAAGATATGCTACAGCAGCCCCTATGGAACCATCTGTCCTCCCTGGCTGCTGCGGGTCTCCTCCTCTTCATTGGGGGCGGCCCCAACTGTCGCACTTGGAGCATCCTCAGGTGGTTCCCCAAGCCTAACGCCCCCAGGCCAGTGAGGGGGCGCAGTGAGCAGCATGTGTGGGGACTTCTCCAATACAGCGGAGGAACAGACCGACACGGACAATGACAGCATGCTGGTGCTCCGCCAGATGTATCTTACCTCACTGGCATACCAAGGGCTTTCGCAATGCCACCCACCGAGAGTGGGATACTCCTTCCTGGAACACCCCCGGGACCCCATGGAGGTCAGTGCCAGTCCCCAAGCACACAAGTGCTCCTCGTTGTGGGTGACCCGGGCTTACATCAAATGGGCCAACCAGTTGCACCACCATCGCATTGAGACTAGGCCAGATGGTTGTCAAGGCAACCACCCTTTCGACTGATCTCCCGCTGCACCACTGGCAAGACCTTCGGTGTAACCACTCTGGGCACCAACCTCTGGGGGACCTCCAGTCCAGTGACCTCAGCCGGTACCCCGACCAGATGATGACAGGCTTGGCTCAGGCCATCGCCAGGCTCCTTCAGATCCCACCCAAGCCCACCCCCCAGACTACCACGCGCCCGGGCCAGCGCCCTCCCTCCAAGAGGTCACGAGAGGAGGGCCCTCGTGGCACGAATCCATCCCGGGCCCTTAAAGCAGCCAAGGCCATTGCAGGCCTCACACAGGGCAGTACCGCCGCCAGGGCTTCCAACCCCCCTTCCACGGCAGAGGATACATGGCATAACAGCACGGTAAGACTCACCTGGCAGAGATCAATACATGGCTCGGGTTCGTGATTCACCCGGCCATTCCTCGAGTCCAGATGGCGGCACCAAAGCACATCAAGGTCATGGAACTCCTGGAGGAACTCGCCAACGGAGCCCCCATGTCAGCAAAAGCCATTGAAAAGGCAATGGGGCGGATCCAATGGGCGACAGCATGCTGCCCCCTGACCAAGTCCATGCTCCAGCCCTTATGGGCCTGGAAGATGGCGGTCCGGACCATGGGCCACCCGCCCAAGGTGGTCCGCATGCTGGCCTATTTGCTGAAGGAGCTCTTCACGCACCCTTTTGAACAATACTCACCCTTCCTGCCGAAGTCCCCATGGTGGGGATGCAGTGACGCCAGTGCGTCGAGGACTGGTGAAGCCTATGTTGGGGGCTGGTGCACTGACTCCCCAAACCCCACCAAGGAAACCGTCCTTTGGTTTCACTATGCCATTACAGCGGTTGCACACCCTTGGGCATTCAAAGATGGCAACCCACAGAAGCGCATCGCGGCTTTGGAACTCTTGGGTACCTTACTTCTTTGCAAGCACTTGGTGGCCCAACAGGGCCAGCTTCCGGGACGAGTTCGCCTCCCGGTTGGCAGCGACAACTCGGGCAACATCTTCAGCTTGCTCAACCTCTCTGCCAAGAAACCATACACGGCAGCGCTGTTAATGGAGCTGGTTCTTTTCCTTCATTGTGAGGGCTGTAGCATTGCTCCGAACCACGTCCCCAGGGAATACAACACCTGGGCTGACGAACTTACTCACCCTGATTTTGAAGGGTTCTCCTTAGATTGCCGGTTGCCGGCCCCGGAGACCCTCTTTGTTTTTCCTTTTGCCACAAGACTGTTGTCTTCGACTGGATTTTCCTAGGTTCCCACCCAAGATCCCGTGACCGGATCCGGTGGGCAGTCCTCCCGACCCTGTCCCCTGGCACCTTGACAGGTGCCCTTTGGCCCTGGGAGGACCAGGGGACACTTGGGTGTGTTTGGCAGGGATGGGCGAATCCTACTGCCTGACACACCCTTTGTCCTCCTGGCGAAGCCCAGGGTCTTGAAGCTGACCAAACGGCGCAGGGTCTGGGGGAGGACCCCAGCATCAATCAAAGCGCATAAGAAAAGCCTGCATGCAGCTTTTGCGCTCTCGGGATCTTTTTGCCTTCTGGGTACATTTTGTCACGTCCAGCACATTTTTGTTTGATTGGATGCGCTGGAGCTATCTTGGTAAGCTGAAGTGGTGTCATCAGGTCTCAAGCTTTCGTTGGAGTCACCGGAGTTTCCAAATCCTCGCAGAGTGTCAAATCAGGATCATCCACGCATAAGCATTGCCAGTATATGGGAGAGAGGCAAGCATTCCAAGCAGTTGGCGATTTATCTCAGTGCAAACTTCAACCAGAAAATTGTTATGATGTAAAAGAGTGTACCGATAATCAACACCTTGTTCCCCACATCTCTGTGTGGGGTTCTAGTTTTTTGGCTGCCATCCCGCCCGACTCCGCCCGCCCCCCCCTCCCTCCCTCCGTCCCTCGCTCCCTCCCCTCACTCACTCACTCACTCCACCCCTCACCCCCCCACTCACTCACTCACTCACTCACTCCACTCACTGACTCCACTCACTCAGTCCACTCACTCACTCACTCATTCACACTCGGTCGCCGCTGGGCCCCCTGCTCTCTGCAGTGGCAGGCGCAGTACCCAGAGCCTCCAGAAGGGCCTGCGGCGCGCGTGGTCGCCGCTGGGCCCCTCGCTCTTTGCAGTGGCAGGCGCAGTACCCAGAGCCTCCAGAAGGGGCTGCGGCGCGCGTGGTCGCCGCTGGGCCCCCTGCGGTTCTGTGCGTT